ACTTGACTCCATTTACCACAACTCTTTGGGCCCGGCTATCCAGCCAGTTTCTAACCCAACGAAGCGTGCGCCAGTCCAAGTCAAGAGCAGCCAGTTTCTTGAGGAGAATGCTGTGGAAGACGGTGTCAAATGCCTTGCTCAAGTCAAGGTAGACCACATCCACAGCCTTTCCCTCGTCCACCCAGCGCGTCACTTTGTCACAGAAGGAGATCAGGTTCGTCAAGCAGGATCTGCCTTCCATAAACCCATGCTGACTGGGCCTGATCGCCTGCTTGCCCTTCAAGTGCCGCATGATGACTCTCAAGAGGATCTGCTCCATGAGCTTCCCTGGTACTGAGGTCAAACTGACAGGCCTGTAGTTCCCCGGGTCTGCCCTCCAGCCCTTCTTGTAGATGGGCGTCACATTTGCTAGCCGCTAGTCAACTGGGACCTCCCCAGATAGCCAGGACTGCTGATAAATGATGGATAGGGGCTTGGCCAACTCCTCTGCCAGTTCTCTCTATACCCTTGGGTGGATCCCATCCAGCCCCATCGATTTGTGCACATCCAAGTGCCGTAGCAGGTCACCAACCAGTTCTTCGTGGATGGTGAGGGCCACATCCTGCTCCCCATCCCCTTCCACCAGCTCAGGGTACTGGGTATCCAGAGAACAACCGGTATTGCCGCTAAAGACTGAGGCAAAGAAGGCATTAAGCACCTCCGCCTTTTCCTCATCTCTTGTAACTAAGTTTCCCCCCGCATCCAGTAAAGGATGGAGAATCTCCTTAGTCCTCCTTTTTGTGTTGATGTATTTATAAAAACATTTTTTGTTATCTTTAACGGCAGTAGCCAGATTGAGCTCCAGATGAGCTTTGGCCTTCCTAATTTTGTCCCTCCAATTTAATTTTAAAAATAGTTGTGAAACAGACTGGTAAACTTTGAATTGCAGTGTTAAATTTTAATTTACAAAATTACTTACAAAATTACACTTTTTAACATTTTGGACTCCCATTTATACTGAATTCTTTATTTTCCATTGTCAATTTCAACAGAAATAGTTGTAAATGCTCTTCCGTCATGACTTTTTCTAGTGAAACAAGATATGGGTTTGAAACTCTTCTTTGTAAGGAGGGCACAGAGATCAGCTCTTTCAATTCCTACTTTTTAGCATGCTATTATATGGCATATAATAGTGGGAGGACTTGCCACCTTCACTCAGAAGTTTTATTTTCAAATACCTGTACATTTTATGAAAGACTTCTGTACTGTCAGTGATTGTTTTATGTAGGCTTGACATATCTAGTATATCCTTCCTGCAGCTGTCTCAAACAAAATGTTAATTCGATCCTGTGTTCCTCATTCCTCTTCAGTCAGAGAAGTCTGGAACTGGTCTACAGAAGTGCTGATCACTTTCAAGTGAGAAAACAGAAAGTAGTAGGAGAAAAATGTTATGTGCTCTAAAGCCAGCAATTCAAGTATTCAAGTTTTTGCTTTGTGGCTGCTTCTGTTGGTGGTATTGGTGGTGGTCTTGCTTTGTTTTGGTTTTATTTGTTTTTGTTTTTGTTTTTTTTTTCTATGTTTCACTTGCCCACTGTAAAATAAAAAGGTAGTAAAGACAAACCCATTAACAGTTTGTGAGGCACATAGCAAGTGTTGTGGTGAACAGTACTGAGGGCTCATGAGCAATCACAGAAAATGTTTGGACAGTGTTAAGTAAGTGTAAAGTATCCTACCATTCACCACATCAAGGAGGAAAGAAAACACTGACCACTTGATTATTAAATGACTACAGTTCATTTTGTGGATTAATAGATCTTATGAAAAAACATGATCATGGAAAAACTCCATTATAAACACATGTGTAGCTCATGGCTACACAGGAAGTATTTGCACTCATATTTTCCAAGCTTTGTCAGGTTGATTTATAAATCTGAATTGCAAATCCATTGTATGGATTATTTTTTCCTGACAGCTTTTTCTTATATAATTAAGATCAAAATAGAATCTATGCTTGGATATCTACCGTAGTCATTTTAAAATTTGACATGCAAACTCTGAAACAATTTGATATGTAAGCTTTCCAGCAATTTCAAACAATGAAACAACGTTTAAATGATAATTGTTCACTGTAAAACATTTATTTTTGAATACAATATACAATGTAGACCATTTATGTCAGTACTTTATATCATGCACAATGATATAAAGTCTTAATGCCAATGGGACAACCCACACAACGTTATGTGGATTGCACATTGTGCATAGAAGTATCTGTAAAATCAACCTGACAAGATGTTCTTTAGAAGTGTACCAAAACAAATAAATAAACTATAATGTATTATTACCCAACCATGCTATCCTGTAACATCTCCCAAAATATTAAAAGTAAAATTCAGAATTCAAGATCATTCAGCTGTTTATCTTAGATGTGAAAATAAACTAACTACCAATCCACAAATAGCCCCAAACAGGATTCTGCACATGAGATAGGCTGAAAAAAAAATGATTCCACTACAGAATTCTTGTTTTGAGAAGAGGAGAGCAACCAGAAAAACTTGTCTGGGGATTAAAAAAAAAAAAAAAAGGGCATTTGCACTTATTTGCACTTGTAGGTAGTTATTAAAAGTTATTAAAAGTAGAAGTAGCAATAAATAGATTATTCCAAGGCATCAAAACATAAAACCAAAGCCTTCCTGTTCCTCATGTTATATACTACCACTGCTATACTCCCAGAGGACTCCTGCTCATGTCTGAAATATTGTGGATATGTTCCATGCTATAACATATTTGAGCTGAATTCTCACTGTTTTTTCACAAAACAAAAATGCTGCTTTCCCAACAGTCCTAATGTTTTAAAGTAGTTGTAAAATGTGTTCAGGACAAAATATCAAGGGGAGCCATGAGCTAACGATTTTATACTAACTGTACCAAAAAATGCAGGTATTTGTCTGTAGTCTTGCTGGAAGTTCAAAAATTTTGGCTCTTTGTGCATTTAGTAATATCTCTCATTCAAAACTGAACTGCAGTTTATATATTTTACATATATATATATATATATATATTATTTATGTATAGCCATATTGAAGTAAAAATTTGGCACTATTTATGAAAAAGACTAATTTCTATAGAGTGATGGAGATGTAAATTGTTGGGGCGTAAGAAAATTTTTAGACCACTGAACTTTTATGGAATCACGTACTGGACACTCAAGTACAGAACTGATATTTTTGCAGTATTTGAACATCTCTCACCATAGCATTCAAAATTGCAGGTAAACTAAAAGATGGAAAAAGAGATTAACCATGGAAAAAGAGAAGGGAAAGTCTCAGACTGTAAACTAAATATTCTCATATTTCAAACCCTGACATTTTTATTAATAATAAAATGTTATCATCATTATTCTGAATTTAAACAAATTTTAGCATATGACCTCAAAAAGATTAGGAGCTACAGATGACGAGATGTGTTGTTTCACCACCAATGAATGAAAAGTGTGGAAGAAACAGACTATAAAAAAACAACAGCAGTAAAAGTAAATTGGATATATAGTATCATCGAGTACATATGCGATGTGAAAATTCATTCTAGCAAGTCAACCCTTATGGCCAAATTAAATAGTGCCATTTAATTTCAGTAAGCTTCTGCCAGTATAACAATCTTCAAAGACTCTTAGATCAGCAATGCACCCAAAATAAAAAGAAAAATAGATTATATTTGTGCCAGTTTTTAATCTCTGCTATTCTTTTCAGAAACCCTGGAGAAAATTTGCCTTTCACCTGTCTTTATAGTGTATCTTGATAACATTTTATATTAATTCATATATCAGCATCTATCTTCTTGTTTAGAATAACTTCCAATGGTTATGAAAACTAGTGTCACTTTTTATTTTAAAATGTAAATTTTGAATTGTAAATTATCAGCTATAGTAAAATGTAAATTTTGAATTGCAAATTATCAGCTATTCTACATTTTTTAAATGGTGTAGATTCTATGAAAATAACTACTCTGATAAAGCAATTAAGAATATATGTGTTAGAATATATTCCCTACTTCTCAACTTTGGTCTTTAAAAAAACTTAACATAGGCCAAGTTGGATGTACATGTATGTATATGTATAGCTATAGTTAATCCAAACAAATGCATGGTGTTGTCTCTTTACCTAATAAAGTATTTGATACAGTAAACTTTGCTTTCAATAAGAAGAACATACATTGTGGCTTAAGAATGCCAGGTGTCTCATTTCAGTTTATAAACATGACTGCATATTTACCTCCCACAGAAAAAGTAATAAATGACAAGCTAAATGAAATTTAAATTATTTTAACAATGGGGAGATGGGGGCAAGCAGAATTAAACCAGTGAAAAGTTTATTGTCCTCCGGAATTATTATCTGTATTATAGCATTTCTGGAAACTCTGTCTGAGATACATTTCCCTCTTCTGTTGACTTTAATTTTTTTTTTATGCTGAGGAGGGCAGGGTGACCGAGAAGGCGAAGCAGCTCAAGATTCAAGGAACTTCCAAATGAAACAACCAGGTGCTGGATGTGACTTGCTGGCTTTTACATCTCCCCAGGTGTCACTGGGTTCATGACTCAAATTCTCATTTTTCTCTGTCACAATTTAGCTTAATTTCCCAGATGTTCCCTAACATCTCGGCACCCTGACATCTCGGTACCTGGCGCTACTATTCCTCTGAACTTCTAACAAAGTTGGGTGCTGAGATCTCACCACCCCCGGGGCTCGGTGCGCTGTCCCGTCCCCCGAAGCACCCTTGGCACATGAGGAACCCTCTGTCCGCCCTCCCTCTCCATCACAAAGCCCCCAGCCCCCAAAACCCTGGCTCTGGAAGCTCAGGAGCCCTCCTCCACCGGCTCCGACCACCCTCCTCCAACAACTCAAACTTTCCTCCGTGCGCCCCCGGCCATCTCACTCCTCCCGGACGGCACCGGCCGCCCCCCATCGGGCCTGGACAAGCCCCACCACCCTCCACCCCCCAAACCGCGGCAGCGCAGCCCCTACCTGCGCCCTCCTCCGTCACCTGTTGCCCGGCTGCCGCCATCCGCGCATCTCCCCGGCGCCTCCTCCCGCTCGGCCGGCGCCGGGGGCTTCTCGGGCTCCCGGGCGACCTCCATCCCGCCGGGCGCCGCCTCCGCCTCCTCCTCCTCTTCCTCCTCCAGGGACTCCACGTAGAAGACGGTGCGGGGCGGTGGAGGAGGAGGACCCGGCCCCGGCCCGTGCCCCCCGCCCGGCCGCGGCGTCCCGTTGGGCGGCCCGGCGGCGGTGGAAGAGGTTGAGGAGGGGGATTTCTTCCAGAAGGCGCTGCTGCCCCTCTCCTGGCTCTTCAGCAGGCGGCTCTGGCTCGGCCCCCAGTGCTCGAAGCTGCTGTCGGGCGGCAGGCAGCCTCCCCCCGCCGGGCCGCCCGCCGGCGAGGGGTGGCTGAACAGTTTCCAGCGGAGGCGCAGGATGTGCTTCACGTCGAAGTCTTTCCTGCCGGAGCCGGACATGGTGCCGAAGAGGGACTCGGGGCGGCCGGGCAGGGCCGGGAGGCGGCGGAGGATCGGAGGCTTCTTCGGGCAGAGCTGAGCCTGCAGGGCGAGGGGTGGTGGTGGGCGGCCGGAGGAGGGAGATGCGCGCACACAGGCAGCGCGGAGAGGGAGAGGGAGGATGGAGGGAGGGATGGAGGGAGCGATGCACAGAGCCGAGAGGAGGGGAGAGGCACCCAGCAGGGAAGGGAGAAGGAGAAAGGGAGCTGACGAGAATTTGCACGGCGATCGGTGGAAAGGGGAGGGGAGAGAGGCAGGAATGAGAGACACCTCTCAGGGGAGACAGGCACTTGCGGGTGAGAGATGCTGCAAAGGAGCGCTGATCTGATTAACGGGGGAGCGAGCGGAGCTACAGCCCGGAGAGGACCGGCGGCAGCAGCCGCGCCGGGAGGCAGGTGGCTCTTCCTCTGGCTCTTGGAGCTTCGTGACCGAGCGCCACTGGAGAAGTCACCTGGAAGCCTCTCTCCACCTCCCGCCTCCCCATCCCATTTCTCAGGGGAGTCCCATGCTTGCGGCTATCTGCGATAGCAAAGCCAGAGAGCTGGCATGGGGTGAAAGCAGGGCTCCTTTATATATGCTGTACATAGGAGGGGGAAAAAAATAATAATTAAAAAAATGCCAGCGAGGCTGTCAAGGTCCTCACTGTACAATTTTCTATCTGTCTCAGTGCCTCTAACCAAGCCGCCCCCTCCCCTGCATGTGACGCAGATGTGCTCTGGGGCCATCAGTGTGAAGACACAGAGGGAAAAAGATGCTTCAGTCTTCCTCATCTGAGTAAGTTGGCAGGTCGCTAATTGTCTGTCATAGCCTCCTGCTCCCCTCTCTCCAGCACCTTGTTTTGGTTCTGAGTCCACTATATTATACTGGGAGAAAAAATAAAGGGAAACAAATGGAGCAGTAGCAGCAAACACAAGAGCATGAATCATAGGAGTACAAACTTAATGGACTGCATGCTGACTGGATGAGGTTACAGGTTAACAATTTATTCTGCAGGCTCCATTCATTAGCCTGTTGGCTCAGTGTTGCTTCACCAGTAGAAAACATTGGCTAGAGGGATGGTGCGTGAAACAGAAATAGCACTACATATCTGCTTCTTACCTTTTATATATGCTCTTAATGCAGTCTGACAGTGTTAAACCCAAGGGAGGCTCCTTCACAACAGAGAAATCTGCTTAGGAACATCTGCCCACTTGGGACGGATATCGCAAAGTATGCTGTGCATCTGGGATGTAATTACAGAATTAAAAGCTTCATGGTGAAATGTGGGAGAGGGGGATATAGGGGCAGAACTGAACTGCATATCATCAGCTGGTAGCATATAAAGATGTACAGAATGCCTGCAATCCACCTGTACCTTAGAAAGTAGCATTTTAAAAGAAGATGTAAACCTAGGAAAGTGAAAAAGAAGATTTACCCCTGGGAAAGTGATGAAAAATATATATTCTCATCAAGGTACTCTGCTTTGGTCTGTTTTACCCATGTACCTGTGAGCTATCCATTTTTTTATTATTATTATTTTATTATTTTTTTCTGATAGCTCTCTGTGAATTCAAGAAAAAAATAGTTGAAAGAATTCTTTTCCTCAAGCTGGAATGTTTTAATTCCTCATTCGTAAAACGTTACAGCTTTAAAAATCCTCCAGAGAAACACAGAAGTCAAACATTAATTAACAATTTTATTACTGTTTTATTTAGTTTATCACAGAAGCTGTGCTTCTAGTTATAAACCAATATTAGGGTCTGTGTTTCAACTTTGATTAAGGTCTGTATTTAAGAGAACAAGAAATTCAGGACACAAAGCCCTACTTTCAAGGGAAGAAAAATTGCCACTGTGTATTTTAAATATTGATTTATGCCACAACAGCTGGACTGCAAACTCTCTAGTGCCTCGGTTCTGCTCTCAGTACTCAGTGCTAAAAAAAAAAAAAAGACAAAAATCCTTCTAAAGCAAACAGAAGAGATGGTTCACTTTTATATAAGAACTGATCTGAGTGAATATGTACTGCTTGGGAGAGCAGTAGGAAGAAAAGCATAAAAATTTTAATCTAGAATAGGGCGGATGACTTTAATCATTTCAGAGACTTTAGAAATGCACCTCTTATGAAAATGTATGTGAAATCATCCATGAGTCCTGGTTACTTAATGCCTGGCTATGAGCTCTAAAAGGTGGGAATATGAACATGTAAAATAGCTTTTATCAGTGAATACATAGATAGCTATATATCTAATATCTTTTAATTGATTAGGGAAGTTCAGAAATATTCTGAGGAGGATTGCATATTTTCCTTGCTTTATTGTAAATCTTAGACATTTTAAATTCTAAATTAATACTTTAGTTGAACATTTGATGTGAACAGTTGACAGATTTTTATTTATTTTCATCTAAACTGCATTGCATAGATTTTGTCTTTATTTCTGTTACTTAGATATTATAAATAGCAATTCATTGTAACATTTTTTTTTTCTATGTATACTTCAGAGGTCACTCAATGAATATATTAAAGTATCATCCAACAAAGTGATTGAGTTTTTTATCAGCTTTCTGGTACAAACTAGAAAAAAATTATGAAGAAAAAAGTAAAAAATATTTTAGGTTGTTATTCAGACTTTGTTATTTCAATTATGTCAGTAACTGAAATTGTCTTTGATTATTATTGTTTTTAATAATTAAATTCTCAACTCTTTGGTGTATTCTTTGTAGGTTTTGACATTGTAACATTACTTGATTCTTTCATGTTCTGGTACATTTTTTGAGGCTAAGAGATACATTAATTTGGTACGTATACCTGCTGTTTTACAAGCATCTTACAGTTTATTTCATGTGTGAAGATGTATGAACACTGTCATAAAAAGAAATCTGGAAAGACCTTTAATCTTCTTATTCAGATCACATTCATAAGTATAAAGAAAGTATTTTGTCAATGTACAGTAAACAGGAGCTAGACCATGAAGAAACTACAACAGAGAAGTATCTGTTGTCACTGTATATAATACATGAATAAATCGGTTTCCTTAACCTGAAGTAAAAAAGATGAAACTGTTTTTACAGAATTCCTTTTCTTCATGGTTCCCTGAAAACACTTTTTGACATATGCCAGAAGGACATATTGGAGGCATGACAAGGTGAAGACAAATGTCTTTTAAGTTTCAATTGAAACTTCTGTTATGTAAAATGATTAACTTAACTGTATAGGTTGTCTAGACTTAGTGTGGTAAAGAGTAACCTTTCTCCTTCATGCAGGAAACATAAAAGGTATCCTCTGTTGGAGTTTTAGGGGCCTTGCTCACATTCAATACACAATACAAATAATAATAATAAAATCATTAGTTTATTAGTCACTGATGTCAGACTACTTATATGGTGTTGGCATAAACATATGAACAGACTTGTGAAAATACACATTTCTAAGTTGCCGAAGGGAAACATTTTGATGCCTTACAGACTTCCATCCTTACCAAAGGGGGCAAACCATTAAATGTAAACAAGATAATAATAAACTTGGGTAAACTGTCACATGTCTGTTGCACACTAGAACATACTGTATTACATTGTATTTTTGTTCATTGAACAACATGTTTCTGAACTCCTCACCTCTTGCAGTTTCCCCAGATTAAAAACCATGCAAAGCTTGAATATAGAAACTTTGCTTGAAAGTGCTCATGGCTCTTTTTTCTTTTTCTGTTAGTTAAGTAAAGAGATGAAAATAGTTAATCTCACGGTCTCTTTTTAGGAGTCAGATTCCTGACACTTTCTTTTTATGTTTCCAACAGTCTACAAATGAATTCGTTTCACATAGCTATGTCCTTAAAAAAAAAAAAAAAAAAAAAAAAGTTTCATGTTCATTCTTTGTAGGAAAAATGGCCTAGAAGTATACATTCTTTTAATAAATCTTATAAATCTTCCAAGCAATAAAGAGCACTTTCAATGAAAATGACCTTGTAGTAGTATCCAAACTGGTCAGATTCGATTAACCCTCTTTTTTTTTTTTTTTTTCTTCTTCCCATTGCAAAACTTGTTATTTATTTTTGTTTTTCAAATGTTTTATATTAAGATATTTACATGTTTTACTCCCTTCGTACCTCAAGGAGAATTGGTAGATCAGAAATAAAGATAAATTGTAGTTGCATTAATTGAAGAAGAAACAGCATACAAGGTAATTTGCTAACAGTACCCTTAGAGTTATGAATAGTCATATTATATGTGCATCTCATTTACATAAAGTCATATAGCAAGTGAATCTGAAGACGATGAGCATTCATGTTACTGTGGATCGATCATTACTAATAAGAAGGTGTTATTAATAAGAGAAGGGATATACCTGTCAGCAAACTAAGAGTATTAGAGGTAATTTTGTCATTATTTTTAACTGGTCATATATTTTTAATCCAGAAGACACTAAATCTTGCTGAACAAAAGCAGCAGAAGAAAGAGGAGACATCACTGTGTTTAGAATAGGGATGATAATAGAATGAATAGTTTTAAAACAATTCTCACTCGAATGTGAGAATTCTTGCATGAATGAATGAATGTGTACTTCAGTTATAAAGAGTGATTTTGTAGGTGGTTAATCATGCATTCAGGAGTAAAATTTGAGGGTGTTCAAAAGATGCTGTGAAACAGATCTATAGAATATGCAAAAGAAAGAAACTGATGGGACTGGACATCCACTGAGAGATCAAAACTTACTGAAGAAAGTGGCAGTGTAGTATGGGATAAACAAATAAAGAATGCATTTGAGTTAGTCTTTAAAATTCTGTCATATATATTTCTGCCTTTCTGAAATGTAGATATATTGTCAATCAGTACAGGTAAGTAAAATATGAAACTGGGAAAAGATGGTAATAACGGGAAACTAAACAGTTATTTTGTAAATAACATATGTATATGTTGCTAAGAAGTGGAGTTTCAAGTCGTTGATCTGATTTTCCTCTCAACATATTGTAAATATAGAATGGAATCATAGAATCATTTAGGTTGGAACAGCCTTCTAAGATCATCGAGTCCAGCCTTTAACCTAGCACTGCCAAGTCTGCCATAAACCATGTCCCTAAGCACTACATATACATGTCTTTTAAATATATCCTGAGATGGTGACTAAACCATTTCCCTGGGCAGCCTGTTCCAATGCTTGACAACACTTTCAGTGGAGAATTTTTTTCTTAGTATACAACCTAAACCTCCCTGGTACAACTTAAGACCATTACTTCTTATCACTTGGTCCTTGGGAGTAGAGACTGACCTGTATTTCACTACAACCTCCTTTGAGAGGTCTACAGAAATGACTAAAGCAAGGCAAGATAGCCACACTTAGTAACTATGATTGTTTTCTAATGGCCAGAATGGAATAACAAACCCAGACTTACACTAAACTAAAACTTACTCACTTGTCAACTCTTCTGTATTTTTTTTCTCTAGTGGGTTTTCAACTGAGATTACACTTTTGAGAATGTTTCCCTTTACATAAATTAAAAGGTTAAATCATATTATTTCTCAAAATTAACCACGAGTTAGGACAGTACAGGTAATTGCGGTCACATGACTAACTACATTTATTTTAGGGAATAACAAAAATTACTTCTCCAAAGTTGTTACTTACTGCCTTCATAGTAATGCTGGGTAAAATAATGATGGATTAATTGATCCCTGTGGTGATTTAAATGAACACATTTTATTCTGCATTGCAGGAGCCTAGAAGAACACAGTCAGTTACCAGTTTGAAGGACAGTCACTTTTTAAACCATTTCATTATGATCACAAGCAGTTGTATAAACATACCTTAAAGCAGTTTTTAACTGTTCAGAGAATTTCACTTAGAAGAGTAAATGCTACATGATTTGTCAATGATAAGGATTCATAAGTAAACTAAGAATAGAGAACATAAAATTACAAAACCAGAGAAATAGTTATTAATCTTAGAATAGTAATATGTCACTGTCTTTAAGTGAATTTAAAAAAATATTAAGATTTCTATTCCAATTCCAAAATCTGTTCCCACAACTTCTCCATTTGCAATAATTGTCACTTCTCCCAAGAAATGCATAATTCCTTTATACCAACTGTTCCCACGATGGCTATAGATGACCCTTATTTGAAAAATTTGTCAACACTTTCTTTCCAAAATAATGTTCAAGAGAAATGGTGGAACTAGATCTAGTACAGTTTTGGCAGTGGCAGTGCACACATTTGTGTGGCTATGCCATATTCCACCATTTGGAAGCCCATTCATTTGTAACATTTGCTAATCCACACGGAAGCTGTTTTAATCAATTTTAAGTGATAGCATCTTACTAAAATCAGTATGTTGTTTTGTTTTGATTTAAACACTTTTGGCAGTGCTTCTGTGAATGAGAATTCTATCCATGGAAATTCTGGTGATACAAAGAAAGGACATTTTTTCTTAGCTAGACTCAATAACAGGTGCTGTCTTTTTTTTTTTTTTTTTTTTTTTTTTTTTTTTTTTTCCCTTTTGCTATTATCTTGTTCCTTCTGTGACTCAGAACCTTCTCAGAGCTGGCTTGCTTTCATGTTCTGTTCAAAAAATATTCAGTTTCTTGTTGTTCTTTTATTTAACATTTATTTACAATCTGAAGTACAAGCTTCTGTCAAATTATATATTGGAAAATAACAACAATGGAGATTGCAAAAGAGGCTATAAAAACAAACAAACAAATCTATAAATTTACCACTACACATATATTAGTAAATTAATTTAGAATTAATTAGATTTAACAGAGTCAATGGAGCTGGTATAAGATGGTCAATACTGATAAGCATTATCACAGTCACTAAAGTGGTTTTGGACTGTACAAACTAGAATTCTCAGAAACTAGTTCAGGAATTAGCATAAGTCAAGAAACATGCTCAATAGGTACATTGGAAATAGCCGCTGTTTTAGAGGATAAGAGCATTTAGCCATATGGATGTAAATTGTGACATGCCATTTGGTCTTAGTCCCAGAGCCTGAGAACAGGTACTAGGACATTTTATATATGTCCTAGTTTTAGATATGACCATATGATACTTACATTTCAGTTTACAGGCTCCTTTGAAGAAAAAACAAAACAAAACAAAACAAAACAAAACAAAACATATATATATATATATATATGTTTTCAGAGGTGTTTCACCCTTGAAAACCTTTTAATATTTGACAGAAAATGAACAATTTCTAGAGTTCTCTTAAGAATTAAAAGCAGTAAGGATAAAAGTAGATTTATAACACCACATCATCAAAGAAGTTATCTTTAGAGTAATGTTACAAGTTGATATGGCCTTCTCTAGTATCTGAATAAGCAGCAATCTTAATCAATGTCAGAAGACATTGGGATGTAAAGTGAATACAGAAGAGTCACTGAATATGAAGGAAAAATTTTGGTTGGTTTAGTTGAATAATAAGCATGTTTTTTTGATATTCACCCACGATTCATAGTATGTATTTTGTAATGTCACTCTGTGGCTGGAGTTAAAAGGAGTTATTTCTTTTCATAATCTGACTCATAATTTTATTCCTTACTTTATTTAATAGGAATACATACTATCCCCATAGAATGTAATTTTAAAAATCAAAACGTTTTGTCTAAATAACAGGGTATCAGGTGATTTTAATTTCAAGAATCCTGTCTGATAATATTATTTACCTTCCAAATGACATTTTTTTGTAATCAGTAGAAAAGTGGGTAAGTGGAAAGTAGAAAATATGAACTGTACTACACATATAAGCAGTTTCATTTTGAGGAATAAATAAATAACATACCATTGTTCAGATTAACACTAGTGGTAACAAATGTAGTAATCTTACATTTGTATATTAAAGTTTTGCTATTTTAGAAACAAAGTGACGAACACAATACTGATTTGAGTGTTTAGGAGGTTTTTTTTTTTTTTTTTTTTTTTTTTTTTTTTTTTTTTAAATGTATTTCTAAATGAATATTTTCCTCCTGCAGCCTACAATAACTGCTTGAAGTACAGAACAACAAATTATTTTAACATTAAAAATTTTTACTTTACAGTTGAAAAGTAGAAGTAAAAGTTCTGTTATG